GTATCAGACGTCTGTGGATCACGTGTTCTGGTATCAGACGTCTGTGGATCACGTGTTCCTCTTCGTGTTCCTGTTGTAAGTTGGGATGATTGATTGAAACCAACCTGTTCTGGTCCCTGATGGTTTGGTCGTGTTGATGACGGCATCGAACCTGCGGCTGTGGTTACAATGAGAGCAGAGTGCCCGACTGCTTCCTCTGCAGACATGATATTTGCTCCAGTTACTGCAAATACCATCACACCCCCTGACCCCTGACCCTTGACCCCCCCACCAGCCTGTAGCTTGATCCAGCTGAAGAATGGCTTCTAACGGCAGTCGGCCATCTTTAATGCCTGTTATTAAACTGGACTGATGACACGGAGCTGCGGTTCGACTGAAGTCTCCCAACAACAAGACCTTTATTCACTAGTCTCTGTTGCTTTCCTTCCTCCTTCCTCCTTCCTCCTTCCTCCCTTCCTTCCTCCCTTCCTTCCTCCCTTCCTTCCTCCTCTCAGATAAATGGCTCTTTTAAGTTGGGAGCTGCTCGTGTTCTGTCTGGCTGGCAGATGCAGTGCCTAGTCCCCAGCCTCCAGGACAACGCCAACATGAACGGGACGTCGGAGCAGGCCGACATCCTGCCGCCCAACTGCATGGTCAAGGACCGATGGAAAGTGGTGAGTCAGGAAACCTCCACATCCTGAGGTTGCTCTACAGAAGCGTTCTCATCATTTCTTTTTTAAGAATATGTCTGTCAAATAATATTCTTCCCGCTTTGTTATTATTTTAATATATTTATAGTTGAGTATTTGTTTGTTTCATGACATAAACAAACACTGTGCTTTAAACTGCATTTCTTATCTTTTGGTTTTTATATTGTTTTTTTAACTTAAGTTTGAAGTTGTATCATTTCAGTCCTTGATTATTAATTTGTTAAGTTCAGGAGTGAAAGAGCTGATTTATATAAAAATCTCAGCTGAGCTTCTGAAATATAAAGTTACATAACGCAGCTCCAGTTTCAGCCAATCACGTCCCAGAGTGGAGCCTGCGGCCCGTTTGCACTTCACTGATCAATTTACTGTGTTCACGGAACCACTGCACACACACACACACACACACACACACACACACACTCACACACACACACACAACATGAGTAATATCTAGATGAATGAAATGAAGTGTGGATAAAAGAAAATGGAAGGTAGGAGGCAAAGTGAACAGAGATAAGGAGAAGAGGAGGAGGAATGAAAAGAAAGATAAAACAAAGGGATCAGAGGGAGAGAGAAAGGACGAGACTGAAGAACTTCTCTCATTCCTGACGTTGCTTTATTGATCTACTGACGGGGCTGAGGCTCTGCAGTTGAATCCTGAGGTTCTGAGGGTTTGGGTTCTGTCCTGCGTGTCCCAGCTGAAGAAGATCGGCGGGGGCGGGTTCGGGGAGATCTACGAGGCCTTGGACCTGCTGACGCGGGAGAACGTGGCGCTGAAGGTGGAGTCGGCCCAGCAACCCAAACAGGTGCTGAAGATGGAGGTGGCGGTGCTGAAGAAGCTGCAGGGTGAGAGAGCGACCACACCTCCAACTCTCTGAGTCACCGAGGAAGTACTCCAGTCACATAAGTACACAGCATGTGAAGTACTCCAGTCACATAAG